GAGCTTGCTGGAGGAGGTTGCGTGTTCAGGAGCGAGAGGTAGAATAAGAGAGCTTTGGGAGGACGCCAGAGAAAGGGACAGCTGGGGGTTGTCATGCTCGCCGCAGGAGCGAGGACCACCAGGCAGGCGGAGGAGAGGGCCGCCAGGCAGCGGCGGAGGAGGAGGTGTTTGCTGTTCAGGAACCGAGGCCAGAATGAATCTCAATGGAGAGACCGAGCTTATACACAGCAGCCGGAAGTAAACCGGGGAACTTCGCCGGTTTCTTGACTCTACTAGGAAGACGAGCAGGTGGCTGGTTGCTAGGATACTGTGGCATCTGGTGACGCCCCCCTGCCGCTGTTTGGTTGCTAGGATACTGTCGCATTGGAATGCGGATACGAGTTGTAGGGAGACGCCCACTACAACAGCTACTTCCCGACTTTCACGCATCACCGATACTTAACTCTGTAATACCAAAATTTGATCAAATTACGATTGAGTTCTGACGTTAGTGATTGCACTGTGTACTGACAAAATTTTTGTTTGTAATTCACTTAAAAATGGCTGGCAAGCTTAAAAGTGAGTTTTGTGGTGCTGAGAAGAAAAAAGAGACACCCATTTTAGATTTTCTATGTATTATTTAAGCATTTTCACTTACAACCAATTTGACTTATGACCTGGATTTGGGTCCCTAACCCTGTCGTAAGTCGCGAAGCAGCTGTATAGAATAATGAAAATAATAAAATAAAAATAGGGGATTTTAATCACAAATTGCAGTAATGAATGGGGATCCCGTTAAGAAGTGCGGATGATCGTATGTTGACGGGGTTGTAACTCGGGGACTGTGTATAGTGATTACAATATTTTATTTTATTTATTTATAGTGTATATTGTACGTAGTACTGTACAGGTATACAGTATTTTATTTTGTTTATTTACAATACCCGTTCTATTGAAGATGTATAGTGGTGTTTACATAAATAAATACAGTTCTGTGTCTGTCCGTGCAAGATTTTTAGTTTAGATTCATGGAAAACTTTCCCCAGTATTGTACCTAAAAAAATAATCCGGGGATATGAGATTTTTTCAGGGTTTGAGAAAGTAGTACAGGTATAATTATCCAGAAATCTCTCATTCTCAAAAGAGATCTGCACCAATAATTCTGGCTAACGGGTATATCACTTTAAGAGTACACTATTGTAATACAGTTGTACCCCACTTAACGCCGTCAATTGAACCCAGAGGGTCCCGCGTTAAGTGAAAACGCATAATGAATAACAGAACATATGATTAATTCAATAGAACCCAGCCCACCCCCAAACTCCACTTTTGACGACAAATAACTATGTTGTAGTAAAATAACATCTTAATTTTATGATGGTACATGCACACAATTAATACTTAAGAGAAATACAGTCGCCAAGTTAATGTCCATTCAAATAATGGACTCAACTCCCTCCCCCTCTCACACTACAGTACACAGCCAGCTAACAGATGGTCAGTCAGTCCCTCCCTCCCCCCCTCCACACCCACCAACCGTCCCAAGGAGATGTGTGGGATAACCTCAAACTAAAGTTAGGAAAATATAATTGACATTGCTGGATTCCTTGTAAGACCAGGAATATTTTGAATATAAATGTCATATATTTTTCACAAAAGATAACATACTTACTCAGATTAAACATTTTATCTAAAAATTGTATGTTTAATGCAAAAAATATGTTGTTTATATTCAAAATGATCACCAAATTATAAGAATTCCAGCAATGTAAATTATATTCTGGCCGGATAATTTGTATGAATTTTATGAGCTAAAACAAATATCTACAGTTAATAAAAAAAAAAAATATTCTTCAACACTATCTGTCAATCAAAGTACCCCACCTTGCCTCCTCCCCTCTTCCAACCGCTCGGTCAGTCCCAACCCTCCCTCCACCCCCCACCAATCCTCCATTCAAGAGTTTTTAACATTTAGTATTAAATAATACCTCAGATTAAAGTTAGGATAATATAATTGACATTGCTGGATTCCTTGTAAGACCAGGAATATTTTGAATATAAATGTCATATATTTTGGACAAAAGATAACATACTTACTCAGATTAAACATTTTATCTAAAAATTGTATGTTTAATGCAAAAAATATGTTGTTTATATTCAAAATGATCACCAAATTATAAGAATACCAGCAATGTAAATTATATTCTGACCGGGTAATTTGTATGAATTTTATGAGCTAAAACAAATATCTTCAGTTAAAAAAAAATAATTCTTCACCGGGTAACAGATGGTCGGTCGGTTGGTCCCTCCCTCCCCCCCACCCCCCACCAACCGTCCCAAGGAGATGTGTGGGATAACCACTAAATTTTAATAAATAATACCTCAAACTAAAGTTAGGAAAATATAATTGACATTGCTGGATTCCTTGTAAGACCAGGAATATTTTGAATATAAATGTCATATATTTTTCACAAAAGATAACATACTTACTCAGATTAAACATTTTATCTAAAAATTGTATGTTTAATGCAAAAAATATGTTGTTTATATTCAAAATGATCACCAAATTATAAGAATTCCAGCAATGTAAACTATATTCTGGCTGGGTAATTTGTATGAATTTTATGAGCTAAAACAGGCAGTCAGGCAGGGTGGCGGGTGGGGGGTGGTGCGAATCTAAAAATAGCTCGAATCTAAAAATAGCTCTCGAGCCGGACACTCACCGCGTTGCTGTGGAAAAATCCGCGTTAAGTGAAAGTTCAGCTTTGGCAAGGCACCGTGTATATGCGAAAACGCGTTAAGTGAAAGCGCGTTAAGCGGGGTAATACTGTACAGTACAGTACCTTATATTGAAAATTTTAACTACACACTTCCAAATTTTGGTTAATACTCTGAAGTACAGTATTGGAAGACATATTGTATACCGTGCTCGCTGGTGATTTAAAAAAATAAAATGTTTTTTTCTTGAAATAGAATTAATGTTTGTAACCTGGCCATCCAGAATAAAGAGCTTCAACAAATCTGTCATAGAAAAAACTGCAGGTGAGTACATAGCCACTTTGAGCAAGTGTAGTTTAAAATTAATAATAAAAAAAAATCTTGTTTACTAAGGGCAGTTCTGTACTACTATTACGCTTTTTGATCCCTCTTAATTTTATTTATATGCGTGGCTGTACAGGTTGATAATCATATCCGAAATGTGATTTGAGAGGCATTTTGGTTTCAAATAGTTAATTTTTTTTTATGTGTATTAGCCCACCCGGGCATAGATCACTGACCCACATTGGGGCCTGGGGGTCTAAAATATAATAAAAATTATAATAATAATACAGTGACCCCTCGTTTAACGAACGCCTCGATTAACGAAATTTCGGTGAACGAACTGCCTTCCATAAGGATCTTCAATTCGGTTAACGAATTTCTTACGAACCGACCTCAACATGTTTTCGCTTGCACTGGCCGGGCAACCAGCTTTAGTATCAGTCCGCCAATACAGTAATCGGTTTTAGGGCTTAAATTCCTTACTATTTTAGTAAATATCAAGAAGTTTATACTATTCAATAATTTTAAAAGTTTAATATTAACTTTTTTTAGTCATTTTAACAATTACTGAACATAATTGATGGTAAAGAAACTAGTTTCTGGCGTGCCATCCAGCCTGTTAACACACCAGACAGGCGTTAGTCTCTCTCTGTTTTCAGTGGAGGTAACACCTTGCTTGACTCTCTCTTCAACTAAACGCTTTTTTTCTGTGTTTCCAAGCAAATTATTGGTCATTTTGAAATATATTTTACATATTGACAATATATAATGCAGTGCAGTGTTGATTTAAAGAAAATAATCTTGAAATACACCAAGAGAACTAAAATTTTATGGGTGAAATGGTGCCATGGGGGTGACTTCTCTTCCACCCCAATGCCTTCTCTTCTTCCTTCTCCTCCACCCCCATTCTTATTCCCATCATCATCATCATCCAGGAGCCTTCTACATACACACCTCAAAGTAAGTGAACTTTTCTACCATTTTTGTTGAATTAAGGAAATTTTCGGTGAGCTGGAACCAATTACCCAAAAACCCATTGAAACAATGGTTTCGATTAACGAACTTTTCGGTTAAAGAACGACCTTCTGGAACGGATTGAGTTCGTTAACCGAGGGGTCACTGTAATTCATAGGTCTAGGTCGTGTTTCTCACTTTTGATCTTTTTTTCATTCTTGTATTTCTTTACTGTATTATTATTTTATTATTACAGTATTATTGTTATTATTATTTTTATTAATTTTATTATTATATTTTATTATTATTATTCTTATTATTGTAATCATTATTATTTTATTTTGGTGTATTTTTATTAAACATTTTATTTACTATGAATAATTATTATTATTATTATTATTATTATTATTATTATTATTATTATTATTACTATTACATTTTCGCTCCCCAGGCCCCGATGTGGATCAGTGATCTGTGCCTGGGTGGGCTAATAATTCCTGTTTTCAAAAAAAAAAAAAAAAAAGGGCCCCACAATAAACTTAAGGTTTTTAGAGCTTTTCGGTTTTCGGATAATGGGTTGTCAACCTGTATATACTGTACAGTATTGAGATTTTAACAAACAAATTTTTTAATATTTTGAGCAAAAATTTGTTAAATACTTTAGTAGGTACATCCAGAGTATCCACAAAAATGCCAAAAATCATCATAAAAAATTATAGGAAGCAACTACTTACGGCTGTAAAATGAATGAACATTTTCCAAGTCATCAAAACAAATACTGTTCTACAGCAATTGCCAAAATTATAATTTGTTTTATCCAGATCCTTAAACATACTGTACTGTATAGCTAAATATATATCCATTACCTGTACACAAATTTATGATACAGTACTCTCTTCAAATGCATTAAATCACAGTACAATGTGATTTACAAAAATAAAACATTTTATAAGATCATACAAAAATAATATTACTTGATAGCTGAAAATAGACCATATCTACTGTATATTCATAATACTAAATTATCTTAGTCAAATAATCTTTATTATACATTAATATAAAAGCAACTTGTGAACGAGATTTAGCAATTTCAAAACCCAGATTGGGAGTAATCAACTTGCACCACAGTATGACAAGTGGAACATAGACAACTACCAGCACAAGCAGTAACACTGTTTTCTGCCAGTCAAATGAACATGGTGGTTCAATTTATAAAAAACAAAAACAAAACTATGGTACACATATTACTGCAATGTATACAATAACTTAAGGTATTTTACCTACATAAAACAAATTTTCAAAACCATTTCATCCCTACTGTTGTGCAGTCCTTGCCAGGGGCATTTTAATACTACTGTATCTACCATGCCCCTAGGTGGCTAATACAAGTAATTTGCTGAAGCACTATATCCTGTACAGTACTTGTATAACAACATGAAATACTGTCCACTATTATTATGTCACACTGTGGCACTTGAACATTTTAATTGATAACTCATTAAATGTACTGAATTTTTCCCATATAGAAAAATTCACATTTGTATACTATTTAATTTCTGTTTTCTTTCAAACACAAAAATATTCTTAAAAAGTAATTTTAAAATCATAAGAGAAAACCATATCACAGTCAACAACACACTCAACCCGTAGGGCCTGAGGCTAGTAACACTTTGGACTCGAGGCAGTTTTCTCAGTGTGTTTATGGCTAATTTTTTCATAATGAAGTCCTTAAAGCAGTAGCTATTTCATGTTTTAGTATTACCTAAAATGAAGTTTATACAAGACACTCCAGACTACGACTTCCCAAGCACCAGTCTGCCCAAAAGCTATTTATTTACACCACTACATTCCCTCAGCCTTTCTCTATCCCATGGGTGAGTCAGGGAGCAGATTGTGAGTGTTGACTATTGTTTTTGCCTTCCTCTTTATTCTTATTCCTGTCTTTGATAATGCATTTTTTTTAATAATGTTGTGGGGATTTATTGAAGCTAATGGTTAACAGGAGTTTTACATATTTTTTTTAAAGGAATGATAATCTGTAATAGCAAAAAAAAATATATATATATATATATAAAATATTGGTTCAAAAGTTATGCATTTTTTTCTGTTTCTTATTTTTGGTGCTCTACAGATTGTGGTTTGGAGCACCTCATATATTTACAGACATTCGGGAACAGAACCCTTTAATATTTAATTAGTTTTGTAAATTGAATGACAATTCCCCATAGACTCCCATTATAAAATTTGCGATAGTAGTACATTCCTACAGAAAAATATACTTCCACAAAACATATATCTAATTATATGACAAATAAATTTTAAATTAGTATTTTTTGGTGTACACAATGATTATAAACCAATAATAAATATAATACCAGTTAAGTGAAATACCAGTGTAGTACTACTGTACATGCAATACAGTACAGTACTGTCCATTAATAATTTGAAACAAGTGTGAGGTATGAAACGCTAAGTCAACATCTATAATAAATATATTAATGCGGTAATATATAATGATTTCCAATCTCCAAAAAAATAAAAATCCCACGGTCAACCCCTTATGAGTTACCGAGTTATCCTAAATTCCTGCCGCTTTGTTTACATGGTGTGAACACTCATCAGATTTTCATAAACTAAACCTTTGCAGGTCAGGGACTATGTGTACTACATGGTTTCTATTGGAAATTTCTTATATATAAATCTTCATTACTAAGGCAGGTTAATGAGCCCTATTCCAAAACTCTCTTCAGTTCCAATGATGCAGCTTTCAAAAATATTTCATATAAGGTTATAAAGTCAAACAAATAGGTCATATTAAATGCAAGGGATTTAGTAAAGCTATTTTCCGAAGTGATGAATGTGTCAACATGAACTACGCAAATATTTACTGTACAACAGTGGGGAGGAAGATAGTGATAAAGCAGATTGTTTAGCAAGAGCTTTTAATAACAAATATTTCCCAGTGATAAATGGGTTTAATTTTTACCTTCCTATATCAATAAATATCAATACAATATTTTCTTTATTTATAATAAATAATATGAAAAATGCAATTTATATGATCTGGAGGAAGACTTCCCTTCTGGGGAAAAGATGAGCTGAACTGTCAGAAGGTTGTGAAAGGGATGTCAAATAGAAAGGATAGAGTATATGCTGTACTTCTACAATACAGGAATACCTCGCTATTTGCAATCCATCTCGCCTGCAATTGATATTTTAACACCCATATTCAATGTTTGCAAAGCATAACCTGCTTTTTGTATTACGTATTATTATTATTATTACATTTTCGCCCCCCAGGCCCCGATGTGGGTCAGTGATCTGTGCCCGGGTGGGCACATACAGAAGGTGGGAAAAAAAAAAAAAAAAAAAAGATAATCATAAGGTAAAAAACATAAAAAAGAATAAACATTTCTTACATGTGCAGTAGTTAGCCCACAGATTGTGGGAGGAGAGAATAGGGTTGGAGACCTCAGACACCACATGTATACATGTGACCCTGGTCTCCAATAGCCTTGGATAATGAGTGTACTGTATATAAAAATAAATATGTGGTGAAAGTTGCAAATTCGTTATTTACAATGACTTTTAGGAATGCATCCTTTGCGATAACTGGGGTATTCCTGGAATCTTTTGGCTATATGGTAAGGTCATGGATTCCTAACTAAAACAATACAAGAAAGCAAAAATATGGGTGATGCTTAAATAACCATGGTTTAGCAAGGATTATGTGAAGTCTTGCATAAATTTTTGGCATTTTAGCAAATACTCCTCCTTATTGTTTTTATTCCCTTCTTAATTTTTTTCAATTACCCTGTACTGTACTGTACAGTACAGTACAGTACTGTACAGTATATCATTTCTTGTCTTTTCTATGAATTAGTTCCAGTGCCCCTCCACAATTGTTCACTAATGATGTCAAGGTTAGAACCAAAAGTAGCTCTCGTTCGATTAACTGGTATAGCAGGTTCATTCTTCTTTGTCTGTGTATGCCACACCCATATCTGTGGATCATAATGATTGTGAGTAATTATTAAGTCAACAAGAGAACTAGAAAATGTGGGTGAACTTATATTGTTATACAAAAATGAATAATAAACTGACAAGTGGTATATCACGCAGTGAAGTATCTGTTTAGCAAATTCTATTTTATTAAATAATCTATTTTTGAAAGACTTGGTCATTCTAAATATGTAATTTAAGAATAGAGTATATTTTTTCTAATATTTAATTTTCCAAATATTGCATGCAAGTAAATGTGGAGAAATCTGACAATCAGGCAACTGGCTCCGTAACTGTGGAGTCTATTTACCCAGGTTAGTTTGAGGAGTAAGTTATATGGTGAATGTAGGAGAATGATACAGTAAAAGTACATTAAAAGCTTAGTTGTAGGCTTGATTACATGAAGTAATCAATGTACAGATATTTGCAGAAGCTAATACAGCTAGACCCCGACTTACGACTGCTACGACTTACGACCGTCGGGACTTACGACCGCCGCAGATATTTTATTATTTTTTTTATTTATTTTTTTTTCAAATGACACGCATTTTCTATACCGAAACGTTTCCAGTTAATGTAGTCTCCATGTATAATTAGAAAATTATGGGGGCCCCATGTGCATTCAGCTGACTACATTAAAGGTAAGTGCTCAGTCACACTGTATCCATTCCTTATTATTTATTACTTTCACTGTACTGTATCCATTCCTCATTATTCATTACTTTTACTGTACTGTATTTCATTGTAGATTTTTTATTAAAAAAAAAAAAAAAAAAATTATCTATGTCGGACTTACGACCTGGATTTGGGTCCCTAACCCCGTCGTAAGTCGGGGTCTAGCTGTACTGTACTATAACCAAACTGACAAAGTACCTGTACTGGTACGATGGTACATGCTCATAATAATAATATTCACTTTGTATAACTATCCATTTTACAGAAGGTTATCAGTCCCCAAATTTTTGGTTATCAAATACTGTAATTTACTGTATTGTACTGAAAAGTTGTCTCTGACCTTAAAAGCATTCCAAGACAAACAAAAAGTATACAGTATTTAAGTTATGGAACTGCAAACGTAGGTAAATATACCCCAATATTTTTTTTGGGGGTATACTGTACAATTGTTCCATCATAAGATTCCTGCAATATTTCCTTATAATACTTTATTTTTATGTACTACAGTAAATCCTTTGCTCACATATCCTCTGAGAATGAAGCTCTCAGAGGTAGCTGAGAAAAGTCAATAGCAGAGTTATTGTTTTATCATCTTATTTAAAATAGTTCTAGCAAGTAGTTTTTTCTTTATGCATACTGTACTTAATACTTTCAGTTTTATTTGTGTTCAATGATTTCCTATTGTAGCCCTCTTCTGAAGTCCTGGAACACCTACCAATGTCTCCGACATTATTTTACCCATGGTAATGAAGTTTCTGACAACGATATGGTGTCATGGAATGCATGTACTTCATTGACAGTGCTATCACTCCAAAATGAGACTTGTAACAGGAGAAAATTTCTTTACTGTGGTGTACATTGAGAAAATGGTGAAACAAATAAGTGCTGCAACTAATGTTGGAAAATGTTGCTGTATCTCAAGGCTGCCTCCTGAATTTATTTCACCTCTTTCTTTTCTGGACTCTCAATTCAAGAAATAATGGGTCTTTATTCCATGGCCAGGCAGTATTAGTACAGTCATCATCAATGTTTTACAGTCATTTTCCATGCTTACATATGTTAGCCATGGTTACCTGATGGCAGCTCTCCATGCTGCATGGTCTCTTGCAACCTCCCTTGTCAGTGGTCCTTGTTTATGGTGTGTACTGAACTGGCCATTCTTCATGTCAAAACCCTGTGCTAAAAAAGCACATCTTGCCCGAGGGAATGCTACCCCACAAATTGTGGGAAACAGGAACAATTATGCTGCTTTCTTGTTTAAACTTTTACTTTGTAGGAAGCAACTAAAATTACAAGACCAATTACTTTTGTTTCCTAGAACCTGTTACCTTCGCTTATTTATCATAGATGAGTGTCTAAAATTTGATGTTTAATTTCATATTAAAACAAATTTAAGTGAATGTGATACAGTCTTAAAGAAAATAAGGAAAATAAATCTTACCTTTGTGCAGTTAAATGCAAGTGGCTCTATTTCTGATGCTTTAATACCCAGACTCTTCATAAAGCCATCTTCTTCATAGCCAACTTTATAGGGCATAGAAGCTAAGGGTCTCTCCAAAAGGTATTGCACATTAACAGCAAACCCAGCCATGTCCACAGGGAACTTTCGCTTGGCTATCCAGCCATCATAGAAACCAACCACTTTTCCTTCTTTGACAATAGGTGTGGAAACTCCAAGTTTTGTTACCAATCCGACTGGAAACATTGATACTTTACGAGTCCATCTCATCTATAAGGAAAAATGTGAATGAAAATGTATTATAATACTTAAAACAAATACTCCTGTACTGAGCTTGGAGGGAGAGGAAAGTGACAGTAACACCTGTTATAGTACAATAAATGGTACAGAACAAAGGTAGGCCAACCTGCATCAACATATCACCATGTGGCCTGCCTGCATCACAAGCCCAAGACAACAGCATCTCTTGGTGACTAAAGTATAGTGTATACACAGCAGTACAGTATATTTTATTTATTTACAATATATGAGGAGCACAGAACCGAAGTAGGACAAGCACCAGTATGCTCAAAAACAATACATGTTATGTCTTTCGCTAGTATCAATTAAATCTGCACTATATAGTATAGTATTGGTATCCATTAAAGGTGCTGGGTGGCAACCAATGATATCATAATGGTAGCTACTTTTCAACCTAATCAGTATGTTACACCCTTCCAATCAGACTTCCAAGTTTGTTGTGCATAACAGGTGGTCACATTTCATTCACAACACCGCAAAAAGACACAGCTGGTCATACAATAGTACTTTTTAAAATAATACCAACATCATAAACACAAGTAAGAACATCTCAATGTCCTCTTTAACATGAATACATTATAGTCATCAGAACATAATTAACACATGATGACAGTAAGATACTTATATAAAAAACTGACCTGCTGAAAGATGCGAATGTCGTACGTGTTGTCATCATCTGCAAAATACAAGACTCCATCCTTGGCGTGTTCACGAATCCAGTTTAGTCCTGCCATACGGTTGGCTACTCCTCGTGGCTTATTTTTTACTTTTTTGTATTTTACTGGCATCTGAACTGAGGATGAAATGTAATGTACAATCTGAATTTATACCGACATAATTCACAGTAATATTAGCACAATACAGATTCTACTCGATTAATACACAATTGCCCAACATGGCAATATCATACTGTAATTACTGTACAGTATTTTTTTAATAGATCTTGATACATTCTACTGTACTGTACTGAGACTGTGTGAATAAGAAAATTGCTCAGGCAATCTCAAACACATACACAATGTTTACCAACATCAATTATACCATGTTACTTGAAATAAAAGAAGATAATTGCGAAGATTCATTATTCACAGTAAGGATGAAAAAAGAGTGAACACGTGTGCATACATACCACGGAGGTAAATAGTGTTGAGAATTGACTCGTTAAGGTATTGGACCACAGCCTTAGTAGCCACGGCAGCATCCTCGGAAACAATCCATACCACATTGTTAACATGCATGAGCGTCTGGCCAGTGCGTGTGAGCTCTGGCACCTGCTCTGCCCTGGGGTAGGTAGGGGTGATAATATAGAGTGGCGGTAAACCTTCCACCCACTTCTCACTATCACACCGCTTCCCACTACCAACTCTGTTATTATTACCTTCCACAACATCCTGAAAAAATGGATATTCAGACTTAGGATACAAAAATATATACATATTGTACAGGTATATGAAGGTGCACCACCAAATGGTATGACTTTGCTCAATGGTTTTGTGCTCCCATTGTACAGCATATTTGTTTTTCAAATCCACATCCCAATCTTGAGTAAGATATCTTCAGCAACCACCAAATTCAGAGCTCTTAAATTTTTTGGTCGTTTGGGGTCCATGAGAAAGCATCCGGATCCCCCCTCCCCCAGCATGGCTTGTAACTTCCTAATTACACCTCTGGATCTGCCCCTGAACAGGAAGTGAACTTTTTTTTTTTTTGAAAGTCTGTCTTTTTAAATTTGTGCTGTGTTGGCTAATGGCTATGTCACTAGACGCCCGACCACTCGACCAGTCCACAATAACACTGGTACTTGCTACATACAGTACAGGTACAACCATTCTTCAATGTTCTGTGTGATCTCTATAAGTTTCAATGTTTTGACTCATGTGAATTCCCACTAGTGAGGGTCTAAATTAACAAGTAAGATTAGGTTAGCATGGGGGTATTTAATCATCAGGTGAAATAAACAGGGGTTCCTAATCTCAATGAGATCTATGTTGATAGCTTATGATACTTGAAATTTTGTTTGTCTAATGAGTATGAAGTTAAAAAATGTCGCTTGAATGATTATGACAATTAAAATGTGTTGAAGGTTTATGACAACTAAAACTGTGTGTTGAAGGCAGGGGCGGATCCAAGGGGGTCCAGACCCCTGTAGTGGACGTCTCCCCTACAAACTGCGTATCGCATTCCAATGTGCCGCCTTCCCTAGCAACCAACCAGATGTTACCGTATCTTAGCAACGGAACCAGTCACCGGCGACTTTCTGGGTTTTCCCAACATGACTCATAGCGGCTGCTGCTGGGTATATAAGCTCTGTCTCTCCATTGAGATTCATTCTGACCATTCTTCTTGAACAAGCAACACCTCCTCTGCCGCTGCCTGGCGGCCTTCGCTTCTCCTCGCCTGCCTGGCGGTCCTCACTCCCGCCAGCGAGCATGGCGACCCACCAGCTGTCCTTCTCTGAGCTTCCTCACCAACCAACTCACATTCTGGCCCATCTTCCTGAACACGCAACACCTCCTCTCCCTCCAGCATTCATTCAATCAGGGAGGCCAGCAGCCCCAGCAGGCAACATCTCCTATGACTCCTGACATCTACCTCCTACAACTTGCAGCACTCACCGAGCGTCTTCACGGCAGCCCCTCTCACCAGACGGCATCTCAGCGCAATTGTCTCTCATATAACATATATTATTATACAAAGAAAACACATTGAGTTCATCATCCTGAGTGCCCTGAACAACATTAATATATCTCGATACCCCTAATGGTGACCCCGGAAGTTAGCACTCACACAGGATGGAGGAGAGACACTTGATCGCAGCTCTGATCTTCAAGCAGACACCGGCTCTCTTCCTGCTAACAAGCACCATCCTACGACCCCAGCACACCACGTCCTGCCTCAGGCTGACCCAGGCCACCCCGCTTGGCGCATCTGGCTCAGTACCTGCAGTGGGGAAAGCACCTGTACATCCATCGCCTCCACACCCCTCTTGCACTGCCCTCAGGTGCCTCCCTGCTAATGTCCCTGCACCCTGCTGCTGTGGAAGTGGTTAGCTGCTCTCGAGCCCAAATCCGCTTCTGCTGACGCAGCCCTGCCTGACCCAGGCCACACACACACCAGCAGCAGGCATCTGACGACCCTGTACCTGTCGTGAGGAAGCACACCAATCATCGCCTCCACACACCCTTTTCTCCCTTCTCTGAATGGTGTGTGTATCTGGGCATTCAGCGTCGGCTCATCACGCCATCGCCGTTGTCTCACATGAGGCATGCACGCCCGGTCTCTGCCTCACATGCTAAGCAACTCTGTGAACAACAATTCTCCTACTACCATGCTGGAGGAAGGGGGTATTATGATGAGCCGTCTCTAAACTCGTATCGCGACATTCCAATAATGCCGCCTTCTAGCAACCAGCAGTCTGTTGTATAACATAGCAGACAAGTCACCGGCCATTTTTTCTGGGTTTTCCCAACATAGGCTCATAGCATTTCTTCTTTCGGGTATATCTAGCTCTGTCTCTCTGAATTCATTCTGACCATTCTTCAACAAGCAACACCTCACTCACCTCCTGCTTTGCTGGCGGCCCTCGCTCTCTCTCCTACGCCTGCCTGGCGGTCTCGCTCCCGCCAGCAGTGCGCTCTCCTTCTCGAGCTTCCTCACCAACCAGCTCTCATTCTGCCCCATTTTCCTGAACAAAGCAACATCTACTCCAGCATTCATTCAATCAGAATGACAACAGAGAACTTAACATCTTCTCTATGGCCTCCTGACATCCCTACCTCCTATGCAGCTACTTTGAGGCAGTGTTGCCTGCAGCCCCTCACCAGACGGCATCTCCAGCACCAGACTGTCTCTCATATAACTTATATATTATACAAGAAAACCACATTAGAGTTTCCATCCATCCTGAGTGCTAGACAACATTAATATCTCGATACCCCTACAATGGTGACCCCGGAGATTAGCACTCACACAGGATGGAGGAGACACTGATCACGCTCCCAGTCTTCAAGCAGACACCGGCTCCTCTTCCTGCCCCAAGCACCACATCCTACGACCCCAGCACACCCGTCCTGCCTCAGACGCTGACCCAGGCCCACACACCCCAGCAGGCGCATCTGACGACTCAGTACCTGCCGTGAGGGAAGCACACAACATCCATCGCCTCCACACCCCCTCTTTTCTCCCTCAGGTACTCCCTGCTAATGTCCTGCACCCTGCTGCTGTCGTGGACCCAGCTGCTCTCACGAGCCCTAATCCGCTTCTGCTGACGCAGCCCCTGCTCCTGACCCAGGCCCACACACACCCCAGCAGGCGCATCTGACGACCCTGTACCTGTCGTGAGGGAAGCACACCAATCATCGCCTCCACACACCCTTTTTCTCCCTTCTCCCACAGATAGTGTGTATCTAGACAGTTGTATTTCAGTGATCGGCTCATCACGCCATCGCCGTTGTCTCACATGAGGCATGCACCGCCCGGTCTGCCTCACATGTGCTAAGCAACTCTACAGACAACAATTCTCCTACACCGCCTGGAGGGAAGGGGGAGTATTGTAGTGGACGTCTCCCCAACAAACTGCGTATCGCATTCCAATGTGCCGCCTTCCCTAGCAACCAACCAGATGTTACCGTATCTTAGCAACGGAACCAGTCACCGGCGACTTTCTGGGTTTTCCCAACATGACTCATAGCGGCTGCTGCTGGGTATATAAGCTCTGTCTCTCCATTGAGATTCATTCTGACCATTCTTCCTCAACAAGCAACACCTCCTCCTCCGCCGCTGCCTGGCGGCCCCTCGCTTCTCCTCGCCTGCCTGGCGGTCCTCGCTCCCGCCAGCGAGCATGTCCTTCTCTGAGCTTCCTCACCAACCAGCTCTCATTCTGCCCATTTTCCTGAACAAGCAACATCTCCTCCAACAAGCTCCTAGCTGTCCAGCATTCATTCAATCAGGAGGCCAGCAACAGGCAACATCTTCTCTTACGAAGCTCCTGACATCTACCTCCTACAACACGCTACTCACCGAACGTCTTCTACTGAGCAGCCCCTCACCAGACGGCATCTCCAGCACCAGACTGTCTCTCATATAACTTATATATTATACAAGAAAACCACATTAGAGTTTCCATCCATCCTGAGTGCTAGACAACATTAATATCTCGATACCCCTACACCCCCTTTTCATCAGAAAATCCAATACCTTTTCTTTAATGCAGTATTGTACTCAGGCGTTTTTGTGTAATAATAAGTAATTACTATTGATCTCAGAATATCTCCTAATATCAAGTACACATGCGCCTCAAAATGCCCATGATATTGATCTGATAAAAAAAAATCTGGGGGCTTTGACCCCCCCACCCCCCACAAAAAAAATGGGTGGGGTCGCTGTGCTCGCCATGTTATCTCACCCACAACTCCTGGATCCGCCCCTGGGATAATTAAAACACTGTTAAAAGCTTCTGGTAATAAACGTTTTCTTGTTTGATGCGATGATTGTTTTTGATGATTAAAAAAAATATGTTTAAAGTTAATGATAACTGACACGTGTTGATAATTTATTATAATTAAAACGTAGTGTTGAATTTTTATTATTTTATGTGTTATATGTGTTGATATTTAAATACACGTCAGCCAAAAACTTCGCGGTGTTACATGTTTAAATCTAAATTAAATGTAAATGGTTTCGTATAAAATACCCAGCAACAAGAGCTGACAAGCGGGGAGCGTGAGGAAGTAACGGGTCTTGGTGTTGAGTGACTGATAATCATTAATTGGTGGTACAGTAAGAGCTCAATAATGCCTTTGACTTTACGGTGAGAACACTCCATGACTGTCTGGGTCTCAATTCTATCCAGGAGAAGGAAGGACAAAAGATGGCTGGGAAGAGAAACAACGAAGTGTCTCAAGACGCAGGATACATCTGCGTCCAACTGACCGTAGGTAAACAAAACTGACCACCATGAAAAGTGACAAAGATGGTTCAATACACAATATTTCATATTCATATATTAACCGACAGACAGTCATCTACGGAATTAATGAAAAATGTGATTACAGTATAATGTTCGTTAGCATTAGGTACTGTGTTGTAGGCTACTTGTATACGGTTGACCAGTTTACAGGTATTACTGTATATAATGTCATTATTTATGGTTAGTTTGTATTGCAATCAGGAATAGTATTCCATTCAAAGGAGTTTTCATTACATTTCAGGTTTTAGGTGTTTCACTCAAGAGTTTTAATGTGTTTGCTTCTGGCTTCACCTTACTCGCTATGAAAGTTCCGAAAGAGGCAAACAGTGATAAATGTTGACGCAAGGGCAGTCAGGAATTCGGAGGGGATGTGTGCCTGGCATAGTATATGATGATAAATATTTGAGAAACTTCCTTACAGGGAAAAACACCGTCAATCAGTTTGCCAGAAAAGGCAGGCATAAGTCTCACTAACTTAACCAGAAATTCCATGAACAAGAACACGCCCTACTTTACTTTTTAGACGACACGAATAAAGCTAGCCTACCAAAAAACTTCACTAAAATCTTTAAATTACGTTTGGTAAAGTTCGGATGGCCTTCTCTAAAAATGAATAATATTGTAGTGATAAAAAAAAAGTAGCTGTCAGCCAACTTTTATGACTGCAGGTCCTGAGTGATTCATCCACTTACCCATTCTGAAAGAACTTTTAATTGACCTACAGCACAGATACTGGAGTTGTTCAACCAGTCACAAATACTGAATACATTTTACAGGAGTTATCGGTGCAGCTAAGTCAGTTAATAATACGTTTAAGAATAGTTTAACTGATTCCAGTGAAAATTTGTCTAGCAGTTGATCATACTCGAAGCATAAACAGATAAAATTTGGCATAGTGTAGGACTCGGCAGGTTATGAATCGATACCGAAGAAATACGTGCACTAATGACAGCATTTTCTTAATGATGCTGACTGCTGTTGTTGCTTTTGCTAGAACCGATAGCTGTCACTGGTTGTTAGTTGATATGCTTCTTATTGTTACTATAACATGTCGCTACTGTTGTTTTTGCTGCTGTTACTGTTGCCTTTGCTGTTATTCACTGTTGCCTTCGTTGTTAATGTTACGTTTCCTGTTTTCACTGTTATCGATGTTACTGTTGCTCTGCTATTTTCACTGTCGTCACAGCTGCTGTAATTGTTACATCCCCACCCCTCCCATATTGTACAGTGCACACATTCATTCACTACACGTAACTTAGTGCTAATAAAACCAATGGCCCCTCAAGGCACTCATGCCCACCCATCATCTAAGGCAGGGGTGTCAAACTCATTTGCCAAGGCGGGCCAGATTTAATACGAGTACACAGTATGCGAGCCAAGTAACATAATTATGAGCACTTCACAATCACCTCTTAGGTGAATAGTACGACAAAATAAGAAAGGTGGATTTAGTCTGCGCTCGTGCAAAACCCTTAAGAACAAACACATCAAGTGTTTACTTACCCTGATCAATCTTATTGTTTGCTACTGCTGCTTCCTGATAATTGACACCTCTTGGTATGGACCAGTGCATCAAAGTTTGACACTAACGACTGAGCTGTAGCAACCTTCAGTATTGAATTAAGGTGCGCATCAGTAATTTGAGACCGAAGCCGAGACTTGTTCAAGTTCATCACAGAAAAGAGTTGTTCACAGACATATGTACTTCCGAACATTGACATAATCTTTGAGGCAAAACATTTAATCCTGGGATAATTTGGTCCAAAATATTGATAAAATGTGCCAACATCAACATTCGAAAACTTGTTCCTCAACACAGAATCACTCTGGAACTCATTGGTGATGTTGATTGAGTATATTGTTCTAGGAAACCGCAGACTATTTTATTCAGCTGAGGGATTCACTCACTATTTAGTTTTAGCTCCTCAAGGTAAGGCTGGAGCAGCAAATGGGCAGCGGGCCGCATGCAAGAGTGTGTCGGGCCGCATGTTTGACACCCCTGATCTAAGGCAAGCGTAAACCCAGGGTGCTTTCCTATTGGACGCTGTAATACTTCCGCGCTTGCCGTAAGAGGATATCCTTAAAAAAAATAGCGTGAGGCAAATCTGAATCTAAAAACTTTTTTTTTGGGGGGGCACCCCCCTACATCCTTGTGTAAGATGAAGCGCAGAAGCGTTTACAGCGCCCAACAGGGAAGCATACTAAGTTCATGCTTGCCTTTATGTCTCATGAGTTAAGGGCGTAGAAGCCTGAAGAGTCAGTGGTTTATGTCATCAAGTTATTGGAAGCTCCAACAACTTTCCCTGAATACGAATTCGCAACTTTCGACTTACAACAGGTACCTACTTTACTGCTAGGTGAACAGGGACTAATGGGGGCTAGGAAGTAAGTCCAAACAACTTCCACCTGCCCGGGAATCGAACCCGTGACATCTCATCTCGCTTGGGAGGTAAGAACGGTACCGCTTCTACCACCGATCCCCCTCTAAAAACTTTCTGTTCCAAGTGCCCGCATTAATGACCTTGACTCCCCCTCCCCGTGCAGACACTCACTCCCCTTCATGCCGGCAAAGATGTTGGGGCAGATGGGAAAATTTATGGGGTGGGGCGGGAAGAGACATGTGGGTGGGTCGTGGAGAACCATGAGGGTGGGGCGGGGAGAGGCATGTGGGTGGGTCGTGGAGAGCTATGAGGGTGGGGCGGGAAGAGGCATGTGGGTGGGTTGGGGAGAGGCATGAGGATGGCGCTGGAAGAGGCATTAGGATGGGGTGGGGAGAGGCATGGGGGAGGAGGGTAAGATGAAGTTATCACGTACGGCTTCCCGGCACTATTTACATAATTGTGAGGCGGGCGGGAGGAAGCACCACCTCTACCACCAACATCACCTCACTACCATCATTACAAATACCACTAGTCACTACCACCACTCCATCCATCTTACCAGAATCACTACCACTGTTACCACGATCACCACCACTACCACCTGAAGATCACCACCACTACCTACTACCATCAACACAACCACCATTATTGTTACTACTTCTACTACTACATCTTTGCTGTCACTCGGAATTAAGTATGACGATCATCCAACGACGACCACAAATTTTGTACGTGTAGAAGGATACATTTAATGCACCGGGTGGGCTACTAAATTATGAATGCTTGAGTGCTTGGCCAAATGACTGACATTATTTCCCGTTATGAGCCGCCGAACAGGAGAAATAAGGCGCAAACATCGTATTGACTGCATAAAAATTAGTAAACTCATAAAACTTGCCGTTTGGCAACTTTACTTGTATAAATTGATAAGTAGAAATTTAATTTTCCCCCAAGTTTATATTATTTATTTGGTAAATCGTCAAATGTGCCATTTTATAAAACGAAGCACATCAGCACTTCTTGATGTGCGACGTCTCACACAGGTGAGGAAAACGGTGTTGTAATAGGTGTATTTACGCGATCTACACGAATATCGTTATGCCCGTAAACATTTTTTTACACCTGTTGTGCTAGAAATACTCGTATAGTTAACCATTTATCACATAGTTCCTACGAGAATGCAAATCCTTTACAGTCAAGGAAGTTGTAGACTACCCTGCTACTTACACCCAAAGAGATCACAACACAGTATGAAAAAGATAAGGAATATTCTGGAGATAAACTAGCCAATATGGCGGTGTGAACAAACAAGCAAATGACCTGCACCACAGCTTCTCAATTACTAGGCTATAAAAAGTGGGTAGAGCTTAGTCGATAGATCAATTAAGCTTGGAAAGTGTAGTGTTCCCTTTGCAAAGTATTGGGAGACGTTATAATGCGTGAATAGACTTGTAAAGTAGCGTGAAGGAGACTACTGTACTCACTTGTTGGCGAGGCTCGGCCAGAGGCTCTGGTGGTACACGCTGAAGGGCGTCAAGGGGTCTGGCGGCGGTCCTCAAAAAGTTACCTTCCACCTGGTTGTTGTTGTGTCTCATGGCTAGTCCCACCAGCACCAGCAGCGTCGCCGCCACCGACCACGTGACCACCACCCGCAGGTTCACTGCCCGCACCATCACCTGCCCCAAGATAATGAAGTAATGTATCTGCAGCTCGTAATGTAATAATAATAATAATAATAATAATAATTAACGGTTTATTGAAAGAGCTTGGCAGCCAGAAGGCTGAAAATATACAGTTACTGTACCTGTAGCTTGTAGGTGACACAAGGTTCATAGCCATTATCACCACCACCACACAACATTACCACCAACACATTCACCACACAACACTACCACTATCACCACCAACACATCCACAACGCTACCACCAACACATTCACCACACAACACTACCACTATCACCACCAACACATCCACAACGCTACCACCAACACATTCACCACACAACACTACCACTATCACCACCAACACATCCACAACGCTACCACCAACACATTCACCACACAACACTACCACTATCACCACCAACACATCCACAACGCTACCACCACCACACACTATCACTACTACTACCACCACCACCACACATCTACCACCACATCTGCCACACAACACTACCACCACCACACAACACTACCACCACACACTACCACCACCAACACATATACCACATCCACCACTGTTTCCACCATGATAACTTGAACAAACACAATACTATTAAAAAGGTCACACCCACTACACCCTCAACCCCACTAAGCCCCCGGCCCACAACACCCCAGCCCACACCCACTACACCCCCTGCTACAATAACAACACCTAACCCCCACTCAATGCTCCAGATAGAACCTTGACTCGTATAAGACTTTCATACACCCAGCGCTGTTTTTCCACTTACTGGAGGGAGGAAGAGAAAGGGGGAGCATCCCATAGAATCATAGATAATCCTCGTCTTCTCTAATGCCACTCAAATAAAGGAAACATACACAGTTATACCCCTGTTCAATCGTCTATCGACCATAACTTTTTAGTAACAGCAATTCCAAAACACGAGAAAGTTGGTTGTTCCGAGTCCTTGAAGTTGGCAGGTCTGGGCAAGTCGAATATACTGTAAATTTTGACCTCACACGGTCAATATTTATTGACAATAAGATTGATCGTGTGTGGATAAGATTGAAGGTATTGACAATACAAAATATTGATGGAAACTGGATTGATGAGTTTCAAAATATTTCTGATATTGTCAATATTTATTGACAGTGGGAGGTTAGTATTGTCAAATGTCAATAAAGAACCAGTTTGTAACGGTCGTCCATGGCGTGCACATCTGGTGAACGGAAATAAAGTCACAAGAAAAAAGTCACACGACTTGTACACATTGACAGCACAATATATACATGATCGCAGTGCACGTAGGTTAAGTTAGGTTAGATTTTTCTGTGCCATGTTTTCTCTGACTTTTTTTTTTACCTTTTTCCTGGATTCACACATCTTCCGGTCTTTCTGATAGCGGCAGTGGGCCAACTGCCCAAACAAAGTGACACTCTGGATGTGTTACTACGATTCATCCATACATACAGATAATTACCAGTGTTGTGGGATGTTACTTCAAAGGATTACATGAACAAATGAAAGAAAAAATCAGCTATGAGGAGTTGTTGATTACTTTCAAGGAAATGAAGATACGATCCGTGAGGATGTCAAAACGAAGATCCATTCACTGAGGACAAATAGGAAGGAGCTCAAGAAAATCCAGGCTTCCAAGCGATCAGGCCGTGGGATGGATGAAGTTTATGAACCAACATGCTGTTCTTTAGAAGAACTGAGCTTTCTTGGCGATCAAAGTACCCCTTGCTTCCGTTTTTCAGGTAGATTGTCGAATGCAAAAGCCAAGATCACAGCTACCCAAGCTTTAGGAGCAAAAATTTTCGTCAGGACTCCTTCTAGGCCTCCTTGGTACAGACTGACAAGTTTGTCCGAAATATTAAACGTGTGAGGTGGCGGTTGTCAGTAATTAAAATATTGACAATATAATATTGTCAATAAATATTGACCGTGTGAGGGTCGCTTAAAACTGGTTAAGTTCGAACATTTCCTCTAAAAATATTTAATGTAACCTAATAATCACTGGTTGTACCTAAATTCCACCGGAACAACTAGTCCCCCACCCACCCGTCTGGCCTCTACCAGTCCCCCTCCCATCCACTTGGCCTCTACCAGTCCCCCTCCCATCCACTTGGCCTCTACCAGTCCCCCACCCACCCATTTGGCCTTTACCAGTCCCCCACCCACCCATTTGGCATTTACCAGTCCCCCACCCACCCGTCTGGCCTTTACCAGTCCCCCACCCACCCATTTGACCTTTTCCCCCACCCACCCATTTGGCATTTACCAGTCCCCACCCACCCCGTCTGGCCTTTACCAGTCCCCCACCCACCCATTTGGCCTCTACCAGTCCCCACCCACCCATTTGGCCTTTACCAGTCCCCCACCCACCCATTTGGCCTTTACCAGTCCCCACTCATCCGTCTGGCCTTTACCAGACGGATCTTCCCCCCCAAAGTATCCAACTGAAGATCCTCCCCCCAGGCTAGATCATATGAAGATCCTCCCCCCCAAGTAGGTTTGGGGGGGGAGGTTTGGTTTGGTTAGGTTAGGGGGGGTGGATCTTCAGATGAGCGCGACTGGGCTTGATCATATGAAGATCCTCCCCCCCCAGGCTAGATCATATGAAGATCCTCCCCCCAAGTAGGTTTGGGGGGGAGGATCTTCATATGATCCATATATATATATATATATATATATATATATATATATATATATATATATATATATATATATATATATATATATATATATATATATATATTATTTTTTTGTTTTTTTTTCTGAATGACGCAAAGTTCAGGCAGTCACAACTGACTCAGACATGTGTATGCCGTGACGTCACATCGGGAGGGAATGTAGCCACCAACCTCAACACACATTCGCTTCCCATATTTTACAGTCGCCACCGATGCTCTTCATTAATTGTCTTATTTTAGTGTTATATTACATTTTCTTTATTTCGAAGCCACAGTAGAGTATTGTTATATTTTTTCCCACAAATCTTAGTTTCATTACAAGTAACAATATACTAGGCGGCTGGGTTGGCGAGTCGGCGACGTAGTTTATAGGCAAGGCCTTGGCTAAGCCTCCACACACGTTCACTTCCCACACATACACACCCATGCTCTTCAGTTTTCTTATTTTATAGTTCTATATTATATTTTCTTTATTTGTAAGTTACATGGTCTATATAGAGTGAAATAAGTGTTAAAAAAAGTCAGTTTTTTTAAGACACGTATTTGCGTGGTCAGTCATTTCTACACATTTACTACTTGTGTATGTTTAACTAGTGTTTTTTTTTTGTGCCATATACTTGTATATGTGTTTTTCTCGTTACATTATGATTACCTTATCTTGCTTGGGCTGTGGGTCCATTTGGGCCTGTCTCTCAGTTCGGATGTTTTAAGCATTTTATTTGTTTGCGTATTATTGCCAGAAGAGTTTTGTTGGGCAGGCCCAAATCATAGTCAACAGTCTCCTTAGAGGTAGCATGTTTGGTTAGTTCATCTGTGTTGTCAAGTATTCATAGATCTATGTGACGATACTCAAGTAACTTCCGCTGGATTCCCTTCCTCATAAGTATGTAGTTAGGGCCTACACGTGTCTGGCTTTATGCACCAACATAACTACAATCAGGCTGAAAGGAGGAGAACGACGTGAGGGATTAGAGGAAGTCACGTACAACCAATGCAAGTATGTCAGAAACTTGCGCCCACTTGGAGAGCACAAAAGCCGTCATGACAACTGCATTTGCCGCTCTTGTCCTGGGCATGTAGGGATCCATCAGAATAGATTACTTGAGGTCAGGCATGGGGTGATACACTGTATTGTACTTGGTACTAAAAGCACCAATTTTTAGGTACTCGTACAAGTTTGGCATTTCAGTTTTTCGTTCTTGTACAGGAGAAAATAACGTTTTCCATGATCTAATAGCGTATGTAACAGTACAGTAATGTTCGATGCATTTTTCATTTGAGTGTTAATTTTCACCTCACAAATGACAACGTGAAGCTTTCCTTAAAACCAAATTTACGTCCGACCCTGAATTTGCCAAGACTGGAATACGCCATCATTAATTATTATATTTCATATGAAAACCATCATATAGTAAGTGTTAACGCTCATAGGAGTGTTATTGGTTTGTTGCTGGAGAAATAAACCCTCAACGTTGACGCGTACCATATAATTCGGTCAAAACCTGTTAAAGAACATTTCTCATATAACAAATGCTGTTATCTCAGGACACATCATATGAATAATACAATCAATATACAGTACATAGCCTGTTAACATCTTAAATATAACTCGCATGTTATAACTATTGATACAGGAGACAATTGGTATAATATGATCAAATTGCAGTACACAAATATACTTATTAAAGTTATTTAGAGTTTCTTAGCAGATTCTAATACTTCACGATCACTCACGTTTTAGGGTCTAGTGGTCTGAACCAACGTGTTGTCTGTCCTGTAGAAATCAGTAGACTACCCTCGAGGGCAATCTCAGCCCGGAGGCGAGGGCCATGTGTTTTCGTATTGAAACACCTCAGCAGATTGGTCAGCAAATTCGTTGTCAACACTATATCTCTTATCTCATCCCTTCTCTCTCTCTCGCCAAGTTTATCTTATTATGGTTATCCCTCTCTTTCTCTCTCTTCTAGCTTATCTTACTGTGGCGGTAACAGTAAGTATCGCATTCAACCCTTGCCAACTTTTTGTTGACTTGCAGGAAATAGCAACTATTTTTTTAATAAAAAAATAAGTTTTCTATAACTCATAAATTATCCTTTGTTTGTCTCTAAACTTAAGATTTTTGGGGGTTTTAGATTTTGTCGTAAAATTGCTTTAGGTTAGTGTTTTTATCTAAGAGCCTGATACCATAATAGGCCACGTAGTAACTCCATTTTGCTATTGTAGTGTAATTATCATCACTTTGTTTTGTCGTTTAAATTCTTATATAATCTAGATTCTCTTATCGCAACGCCTCACAAGACAAACTCATCAAACTTA